CATTCCTTTGTCCAACAAAAATATACTTCAAAAATATATACATATACTTTTTTTATTTAAGCCCCCTCACATGTGTCGCAGAGTGCCAGCCAGGACGAATGCTGTCTTACTCTTGTCGAGTTTATAAGTCATATCAATATTGTTTTCTCTAACAAAGAAAACCTCTTCTAGCCTTAACTTTCATGAAATAAAGTCATAATCAGGATCATCAACTACTGCAATGGCAACTACACTGTCCTTGGTAGCAAGATCCCCCTGACTGCAGTGTCAAGTAATTAGTAGCTTCCATTTCCTCAACAGCCTGCCTAGTAGCCCGGTATGCCCAATAGATGGAAATCAATCATCGGAAAACAATCAATATAATCAATATTGTCCACAAAAAAATTAATCAATTTGTTATGAATGACTCACTTTAGACTTTAATTGAATTTAGTTTATTTGATTGAACGTTGATTTAGTAAACTATCATTGACAGTTTAATACGAACACTTCGGATCAAAAGCTAATTTTTGTGTTTAGAATTCTTTCCACTTTTTGTTCATTGTCTTACAATTCGATATGTAGTCAGCATACACGGACAGTGTAACTGCATGAGGATCTACCCTTCAGGTACCATAACATAAATGTTTTGACTGCCTAAATTGCTTTCTTTTGAATTGTAATTTTCTTTGTTGTTGTAACTTCGCTTTTTAGTATTCACAAAGTTGTTTCACGCCCGATATCTGATCGAAATGTTGTATGGAAACGTCCCTAATCTTGTCTTTTTCTGTAATTTTGTTTTCAGAATAGATAAGATACCAAAAGTAAATCCTCGTGTTGGTTGTAAGTTAATCATTCTTACCACAGTTAACGTAGATTGGTTTCACTAATCAATTAAAATCAATGCTCATAATGCAAGTCTTCTTAAATGTATCGATTTTTATTAGCTTTAATAAATGAACGATTCATGAATCCTTAGCCCTGGGTGTAAGCAGATATGTCACGCATCTGTTGACCTGGACTTAAGTTAGTCTTGCTTAAGTTTTGCGCGTCGTCAAATGATGGGCGAAATGACGTTTTATTAGTAGAGGCTATCGTGAAGGTCCACTACTAGTGCCATTTTTACACCCAGAGAAAGTGGCCAGATCTCTTTTTATTTGTAGGAGTTTGTATTTTCAAGAAACGTTGTTCAACAAATTCATGTCTGTTCATGTAGAAACAGTGTGCCGATGACAAGCTCAAAGAAAATTTCCTGGAAGAAGCTTAAATTACGCATCTAACGCCCGCTTTCTTCTGTCTTCGAGGTAACGCTACGCAAGAATAATTAGTTCATTTCTCACTGGACGGGTCGTCAATTGTTTATGCCCAAAATTGCTACTTTGCTGATTCTAATGTGCTTCGCAGTTTTCGTTGCGCGTGATGAGAATTGCATAGGCCAAACACGATTCTCATCACACGGGAAATGAGATGCCACCGTTAACGTACTTTTGAACGATACTGTAGTAATTTTTGGCCGTTTCTTTCTTTTTCTTGATCTTTTCTTCCCTCCACCTTTCTATCTTTCCAGCATTTGACAAGCTTTTCTGCTTGATATTCATCTAGGACGCTTGACTTGTTCTCGTGAACTAATGTGTAATGCAAACGTGACGTCTACTCTACTTTTACCTCAGCTTTTAGCCCCTGAATTCTCATAAAAACTAATCCCACAAACTGAGGAAAGGTTACACAGGGCCGCTTCCATGTTCGACTGTATAATGGTTGCAATTTAGTTTCGTTTGCGAAGTTTGGATCTTCGCGCTTCGAGATAATTTGATCAATACGCTTAGAGCACTAGGAAAAATGTTTCCGACTTAGTGTATGTAGAATTTCTTTGTTTAAAACACACTGAAGACTAGAAGACCTAACAGGATTTGAAGATCATTAACTGACTGTGTTGTTGCCATGTATCAGCGACTTCTGTTTACCAGAAACAGAGATATGGACTTGGTGTGGGTAAGTACTATTTGATTTTACTCATCAAAAACTACCCAACAGAATGGAATAGAATAGCGACTTTATTTTACGAGGGTGACACGTGACAGTAACTATGGTTACTGATTAACTTGTAGCCCTCTAAAATAGATTAAAAATACAATGAAATAAAATAAAAACTATCGATAGGTTACTATTTGTGATCGTACACGGGATAACGTACTTTAACGCTTATGCGTTACACGGCTAAAAACCAACGGTTAGTTAACGGCCTTGAAAACGTTCTAACGTTTTGTCCTAACGGTCTAACGGCCGGCATTTCATGGCTAACGGTCATCTTGAGCGTTCTAACGTTTCGTGATCTAACGCTCTAACGCCCAACTATTTCTGCCTAATGGCTCATGAAAACTTTCTAACGCTTCCGCAACCTGTTCCAACGCATAACTGGAACCGTTAACAAAATCCAAAACTGCATCTGACGTGTTGAGCGGTAGAAGCGGTAGATGCAGCCACTCTAGTACACCGTACCGAAAATGTTTTCACGAACTGCTGAATATCTCACAATCACCTTGCACGATGGTACTGAAGTAAACACCACACAGCTAAATTTAAATTCTATATTAACAAGGCGCGATTGTCCAATGTTTCAACCGAGGAGCGATCAACCGAGGAGCGTTTGACGGCTTCGCCGAGATAAGATCTGAATAAAGTCTGAAAGGGAAATATCCGGATCGCAATTAAAGCTTGAAATATTATTTTGAAAGATACCTCAAACACATTTAAACAAAGTCACAGAGTGTAATATAAACAAACTCACTCACTTTCTTGCCGCATATTTTAGCGACAACATTGTTTGCGACGGATCGAGATCTTGCGCATTGTCGTAAGAAATATAAAAGAACTTGATTGAAAACTACAGTCGAGAATGTTAAATAATAAATTACGCCGTGCCAAGACGCGAAAATTCAACAGCTTGACACTGATGAAAACATCCATTTGGAAAGAGACTTGCGATGCATTTGATACACCGATGCATTCGATACACCCTAAACAACTTTATGCAAATTTAAGTAATTTTAGATCGATTCATATCTTGCGAGCCGTGTCCAAAGTTTATACTATCGTTCGAGGAGCGTTTTATAATTTTCTTGACTTTAATATCCTTGTTAATACATTTTAGGCATTTCGATGTCTAAATTAGGGAAAAAGTCCCACCTGAGTGTTTACTTCGCGGCCCTTCGCGGAACGTCACATGGCGTATAGATACGCTTGTTTAAATTATTCTGCTTATAATACTACGGGTCTTTGACGTTCTCTTGCTTACAGTCCCTAATACAGACAGATTCTAGACACACAGTCAAATCATTCGGCTTATTCCCTCTTGTGACTTTATTGCTCGCTCATGATCAGTCTCCTCGCAACCGTTCACGCAATTTGTTTAGGATATGCCTACGAAAGAGAATTTCGCTTGCTCGTCCGTTTCGTGACCTGAGAAACTTTCCTCGTTCGCCGAATCCTTACTGAATACTCATTAATTCACGGTGCAGCGAAACTTCTGGTCGAAATGTATGGCTATTATCCCTTTAACGGAAGGTGATTTTTTCTAACGCCTCTGCCAGTCGTTCTAACGAATACAACTAACGCTCTAACGTCGTTCTGATGCCTGCTAACGGCTGAAGGAAACAGAACTTTGGTTAACGGGTAAACTTTTCGTTTTAACACTATGACGTTTAAAGCTAACAGTTATGTTGACGCCTCTAACGTTTTAAGGAAAAATTTCTAATGGGCAACTAACGGATGACTAACGATTTTGCCCCGGCGTTCAACGGATAAGGTTTAAAGTACGTTTTCCCGTGTGCGGTCACATTTTCATTAAAAATATTTACAATAGCTATAAATTACGATAAAAATTTAACCAGTATTCAACTATCGAGAAACATGAATAGTTAAAAATTAAGGACGATGAGGGTTTCATTAGTTTATATCAAAAGATCCCTTAAACTTTTGAGAATTTAAAAGTAACTTCCATAGTTCAGTCTTAGAAGTAACTCTTAGATTTGAGGGTTCCAGTCCTGAAGATAAGTTTTCGAATGCGAAAACTCATTACATTGTTCATTGTATTTCTTCATCACCGTGTGTAATATCTGAAAACCTTTCTCACTCAAAGTTTGACACGGTTATGAACATCATTCAGAAGAATTTTATTCTTTTTGAGTGCGTTTGGACGATGCTACCCTCATATTTGTCTGGCATGGAACGCTGTTGGACCCTGAGCGTTACACAAGCACTAAATGGGAACCAACTCCTGTATTATAGTTCTTGATATTTGAAAAATAAATGTTGAGAACTGTCACTTTGCCTATTGTTTCCTTTTTTCATAGTCCACATTTCTGCTTGATCGAATTGCATAGATGAGATTGCTTTGGAGGTGAAATTTTACTATTTCCGCTATTTCATGCAAATTACATGTAGCTGTTACGTGTTACATGCTAATTTTGTTAATATTTTCATGGATCCTCAGGACTTAGGTTATTCTAAATTACAATATTCAAACATATCAATCTTTTTAGAAGAAGAGTTTAACGTTTGAACGAAATCCATCATTTGTATGCAAACTTTAAGATATTGGAAAATAAATTTGAACAACTGCTAATGTACATGTGTTTCATGCTAAAAGTCAAAGGACTATAGCGTGGACATAGCAAATTGAGGTTAAACATGAACATTGAGGTTAAACATTTCCTGGATATCGTGAATAGGGCATTTTAATTGTCTAAGGGAAGTTTTGACCGCGTTTGCAGACGCACCCATATAGCATGTGCCCAGACCAAGAAATGGACTATGTTTTCTCCATTCCACCGTTTTATACACACTGAATGACGACAAACGAACCAAATACTATCATACATGCAGTCAGCAAAACAAGCAACGTAACTGATCTAGTGAAACTATATTTTGCATTGTAAGCTTGGGCCTATATGGGTTGGATACTAACTTACTACTAATCACATTCGTTTACATGCAGATTGTACAGCTGCATAAGACTTACCCAAGCTTGTCTGAGAAAACCGGATTAGAGAAATCCGATCATGTGACTCGTATAAGACCCCAACAGCTTCTTTATTTCCATTTAAAATGACTGCACCATGCGGCTGGCGGGAAGAAGTTCCTATGAATGCTCTAAAACATTTAAAACAGAGGTCACTAGCGAGATCATGAAGAACTGCACCTCCTTTGTGATCGTGAGCAGGCTCAAGTTGGAACTCTTTCACAACAAACGGTTTTGCAGGGTCCATATTGTCCACAATGGGACAGACCAAGGGTGTACAATCTTCATCTCCTCTGAAGAATGGTCGATAAGTGAAAATAGACGACTCCTTTAGCGTAAATTTGTTTGCATTCAACGGAATTACCACCAAACCGGAACGACGCCGTATATCGCTCATGCAGGCATGTTCAGACAGTTTTACCACTTTGACTTTGTCGGAATTTGACTTTGTCTGTTTAAATTCCAAAACAAGTTGCTTCAACTCTGTCTTCGGGGGGACAACTCTATCAGTTGTTACCAGACAACATCGCCCGTCGTTAAGACAGTCTCTGACCAAGCTTCCCGATCCGACAGTGCTATTCTTTTGCTTATCTTTTATACGACAAATTCCCAGTTCAGCTTTTTGCCTCTCCCTTTCTTCATCCTTTTTAGTCTTTTCTCTACCAAAAGGCATACTGGACTTTGATAGTTTTGTCGACAACACCCAGTAAGAACACTCAACTCAACCTCCTCGACGTAGTGCGCATGTCCTTGAAGACGAAGGAGACACCATTCTCGTCCCCAGAGCCCGTCGTTTCTTGGTCACTCGGTTACAAATTAAGCCGAGTGGCTCTGGGGACGAGAATGCCCCAGAGCCCGTCGTTTCTCCGTCGTTTCCTCGTCCCCAGGGTCTTCTCGTTTTCCAATATGGCGGCGGTACAATGCGTCCGCGTTGGATGCGTCACATTGTGTTGTAATCTGTCTAATCTGGCACATAATCTCTCCTCTCTCGTGGGACTTTAAAGACATCTTTTCTTTAAGGTAAGCTTTTTTGTGGTCAACGGCCTCATAATCGTTAATTTTAAGCTTTTATACCTTCTCCCACCCAGGCATTTGTCAGTAGCCGACGGTGGCGAAAACCTTGAATTCAATCCACGTTCTTCATTTCGACTAGAAATACGTGCATCGCAAAACCTTGTGATCCTCGGGGGTGGGTGGGGGGGGGGGGGGGGGCAGAAAAAAACGGGGGGGGGGGGGGGGGGGGGAAGGGGGGAAATTTGTTAAACGGGGAAAGGGCCTTTAATTTGGGTGGGGGGGGTTATTTTATTTTCTTTTGGTTGGGTGAGGTTTTCACCCGTGTGTTTTTTTTTTAAAAAAGGGTTTTTTTTGGGACACGTTCGTGAATATTTTTTTTTTTTCTTTCTTTCCCCCCCCCCCCCCCGGGGGTTTAGGTGGCGTCGGGGGTGTGAAAACCTTTTATATAACGCCCTTTTTTTGTTTGCGAAAAAAAACGGGGGGGGGGGAAGACGTGGGGGGGGGGGGGGGGGGGGGGGGGGGGGGGGGGGAGGCATGAAATGACAGGGATGGGACGGTGGGAGAGAAATGGAGTAAATTGTGTAACTGGGAAACTGGCTCTAATATTGGTAGGTGAGATGTACTTAATTTCCTTTTGGTTGGAGTACGTTTCAACCCAGTGCTCTTTCTTTTAAAAAAGGATCTTCTGGGATTTAATTTGGGTCGCTGTTGTTAAGGAATGTTGCATAGGTCCTGTGTTCACCCCATTTGACACTCCTGCGTATGTAATTAAATACTAAAAAGGAAGTGGGTGTGACAGTGGATACATTACCGTTCAAAAGTAAGTTGACAGTCTGTTGCGAGTCTCGATTCTTGACACGATTCTCGATTCCTGTGCGAATCGAGAACAGGTTATCAAGAATTGAGTTGAGGATCGAGTCTCATGAGACAGAAAGCAAAAGATTCACCCATGACTGATTTCTCAATAATTTTACATTGACATAACACAACATGGCATGGTTTATTTATGTGAGCAGCCATATGCTTTAGATTGAAACAAGACCAAGTTAAGCGAATGTTTCTTCAAGGAATTCTGTTTCCAGCTTGATTTCCTCAAATACAGTTTCAAATGCCTGCTCCAAATGCAAACAAACAGTGTATACACATGTACAAGAAAATAAATAATAGCATGTTTATTTTGTAACATTAAACAATTCTTGGCTTATCTGGCAGCTGGACACAATAAAGGTCAGCAGTAATGCACATTAATGTCCGCCAGCCTAACTTGACTAACCAGTGTAGCTCTGAAAATTGGTGTTTGTGATCCTTGAAAACTTTCGAGAAACAATGGTTCTAATTCTAGCAGGAAATATAGCATGTTCTTTTAAAAAAGTTTGAGTTCATCTCAGGTAAAATTGGGCTTGGTTTTTCTGGGATGAAATATGATACGCATAAACTTTTCTGTTGCCTAGCATGTGACTGCAACTACTATACAGTGACGAAAAATTGCACAATGTTAATTTCACAAGCGGATTTTAGATTGTATTGCAGGAGGTTATTATATCGTTTTCAAAGTTCTTTGAGGTTTCTGCTGTGCCCAGCTCCCCCTCCCCCTCTGGGCTACTGCAGGGCATTTGCCCACCTTGATAGTCCCTGGGATGGGGCATTAGCAAATTTTGTGCTTCCCAGGGGTTGGGCATTTGCTAACCTCGGGGCCACCCGTAAGCTTTTGACCTACACATCGCAGGGCTGTGCTCTAGCAGAGCCCGGTGGCCCCTGGCGCCTAACTTTTGCTCTCGGGCGACTAGAAAATCTCAGATTTTTCATACAAATCATATGCTGGGCACCCTGGATTTTACAGGTTCAGAACACTGGGCTCCCTTCAATTTTCCTTAGAGAACAGCCTTGACATAGTTTCCTATTTGAATCTAACTACACAGAGGATTTTACTGGAAAAACAAGTAGATTGGCTCATCTGTCAAGGATGGGAAAAATTGTAATGCACAGCTGCAATTGCCTGATGCATAATATGCAGTTGCAGTTGCTTGATAAAGTTTAAGCTAACCCATACCATCTCTGATGATAAGTGTAATAATTATTTGTAAAGTGTGTCAGTAGTTGTGAGTGGATGAAATGGTAGGAGGTAATGCTGCAGTGAAAACAACAACTAAATGCTGGTAATTGGAGAAAAAATATATTTATTGTTAAGTGAACTACAGCAATGAGAGCCTTTTAATTGCACTTGTTTCAGTACATAATCACACTTGACAACTATTGTTTGTAACAGTAAGGTGCCAACATAATTGCTGAAAGATAAATTAGATGTACACCATAGCAATGTCATTAAGGATGCAGTTCATGAGAATTATGAAAGTGATCATGACTTATGATTATTAAATATGCAGGCCTTTCATTAGCACTGAATCCCTGTAAGAAGGACCAGAACATTTATGCAAGTGTTTGTATACAGTAGTTATTAATGTTCATGCATTAGAAACAAAAATAATACCCATACAAGCTAGAGTGAATTTGTATGAAATGCCCACATGCAAATCAAGTTGAAGTGATCAGTTTCTCAATTCCCAACATGCATGAGCTTGAAATTTGTAGAGCTAAACATTTTTTACACTTTCCCTAGCCAAATGAATTGACAATTTGTCCTGGTAATGGCTTCGAAACTGCCAACAGCCATCCTCTCCACCCATTTATTACACGTACATGAATTTATTGCCTAATTTTGTACTGCATGGCGGGCTGGCACTACCGGATTTCCCTGAACTTTTAAAAATTTCGGATTCAAGATGGCTTCCAAAATAGAGGGTACATGTAAAGCAAAGGTCATTGCATGCATTTGAAACGATATTAACGGCCAGATTACTTCCGAAAGTTACTATTCTACAGCAAAGAGCAGTTTCTTAACTACTATAAAGAACTTTGATTAAAAACATGGAGAAAAGAAAGATCCAATCGAGACACTTTCGCCACTTGGAAGTCTTAGAAAGATTCCTGAATTGATCGACCAAAAATTTGAACAAAGAACCGTTGCGTTAGCTTTTCCTACTGAATATTGGGGAATGATAAGGGAGTGGGTGTACCTGTTTTTACAGAAGGTAAAATGAAGACTACCAAAAAGCAAGTATATAACGGACAGTTTGTTTGGTCCCAGAAATGTCAAAAACCATACATTCCCTACCTCTATAATACGGACACCTCTAAAGAGGACAATTGGTTCTGTCCCTTTGGTGTTCGTATTAAAGAAGTTTGACTGTATTTAGATTACGGGCAGCCAAGTGATACAAAGTCACAAGTTACGTGCAGATCGAGTGTACAGAAACAAAGCTTATCTAGTAATTTCATATGTTTTTGTTAGAGACAATGTAAGTTAGTTCTCCTGTGACCAAAACCCATGTATTCAGTATTGTTATCGGCTGAAACATAGTCAGGGTGGAAAAGTTCAAAGAGTTCATGTTATAGTCTTAAAAATCTCTATGAGAGTTGTTTCGTTTAACTTTTGTGACTTAAATCATCAAAGGTTTCCAGGTTCAAACATTTTCAAGACAAAAGACCAGCTGCAATAGAGATCATTAATAGCGGAGCTCCTCGCGCGCGCGAAGCGCGCGCGGAGCGGAGCACCATGGGTAAGAAAATTTGGTAAACTATCCATCCGAGAAAATTTGGTAATGACGTAGAGTACGCCCACCCGTACACACACTTCATGTAAGCCGATGTCAAATGTCACAATAGATCTTGCACAACTTGACTAGCCTCTTAGTTATGTAAGCCATCCGTATGAGTGCGATTAGATTGACAGCTGTCAAAATCAGACATCCGCTGACAATTATCACATGACCATCTCGCGGGCTCAGATGAAAGACCAGTCGTTTTGCCTAAACATATAAGCTGATATAATATGTCACACTTACCAATTCAACATAAAAACGAAACTACGCCGGGCAAGGCTGTCAGTTGGCTGACAGTCGTTTAAAGTTATATTGGCAAGCCAAATTAAGGTCAATTGACAGCTGTCAAAATGGGACATGTGCAGGCCACTATCAGAAAACTAATAACGTGGGCTCAGGTTCGTTCAGGTACATGATCTGGCATTTTCCACTACATGCCGGACGGATATGTCTTACTCACATTCGTAGTCTGTTAATTCGAATATTCGCCATTCTAATGAAGGTTAATTGACAGCTGTAAAACTAGAGTATACGCTGACCATCATCACCTGAGTGTATCGCGGGCTCATTTGTCTGTCCATTGAGGTCACGTAGTGTTTAAAGTTTTGCGCTGATATTTTATTTGATCACTGGCTCAATTCGAAGTCCCATAGCGGAGAAAATCTATCCATCTTAGAAAATTCGGCCATCACGTGACCGTACACCGACCACCCGACCTTCCGTCCGTCCGCACCACAGGCATACCAACGTTTAATCTCGCACTTTCTAGCTAGTTTGGGAGCCTACAACCTGATATTGTACATCCATGTTTTGATTAATTGACAGCTGTCAAAATAGTGTTTCTGCTGACCAGTATCGCCTGACCCTATCGCGGGCTCAGGTATCGACCCACTGAGTTCTAGTGTTTTTTTTAAGGTATCCGCTAACAAGTTGCTACTTTTCAATCATCGCAGGCTCAAGTTCAATTTTTTTAAAATGCATATGAAATAAGTCGAGTTCATGAGCCGCACTTTTAAAATGTTGATTTCGAACTGACCTCGGACGCGAAAATTCAACCGGCTTTTACATTTACATGCAGGGAAAGCAATCACTTTTGACTTTTCTCACTGTCACGCGTTGATCACGCTCTACGTCCAATTTTTATGTTCTGATTGGTCAAAATTTGACAGGTGAGTTCATGCGGAAAATTTATGCAGCGTCTGGAAATTGCTTACTGATAGCTGGAGCTTACAGAGTTTTGTGTCATCTTGTGATGTTTTAAGCTGTCTTTTTCTACTTGGTGTACAAAATGAAATACAGCTGCTATCAAGATTGTTCCTTAATTCATGGCTGGTTTGTTTATTGCGCTTCTTGTTGACAAATGCACCGCTTGTCAAAGTCATTGGAAATCCGATT